GTAGAGAAACCTGCACATGGGGCTGGAGAGATGGCTCAGCAGTTAAGAGCACTTGACTGCTCTTCCAGGTCCTGAGTTAAATTCCCAGCAACCACACGGTGGCTCACAATCATCTGTAATGGGGTCTGATCCCCTCTTCTGGTGCTGGTCTGAAGACAGCTACAGTATACTTACTTATATACAAAAAATAAAAGTACTAAGGAAGGTGTAATTGTAATAATCAGAGAACAGAGGCAGACTAGTCTAACAAGGACAAATTCAGGTACCTGAGCTACACTGTTTCGGGTCCTTCTTTGCCCAGAGCAAGGAAGAACGACTTCCCCCACACATTTCTTCAGGGTTTTCCCAAACCTCTTTTTACTGTAACTTTGGTAAAACCCAGGTTGCTCAAAAAAGCCCTACCCCCAGCATTCACCTCCTCACGTGGCTAGCCTGAACAACCATCTCTCACTGGGTCCCTGGACTCAGTGCTTCAGCTATGTAGTGCTCAGAAGTCAATGCCCAGTGTTGCAGCTGAGAAATCCATACAACCCATTCATGGAGCCTGAATCCCAGGAAGCAGCAATGGCTGTTGGTAATGTTGCCGCAAGTTGGTCTCATAGCCCCAGCACTGGCCTGAGCCCACATACAACTGGAGGCAAATGTGGCTGCGTATCATGGGGATGCAACTCCAGAAGATTAGCTACTCCTCCCTCTCCCAGGTGTCCTTCCTCAGTTTGTTCTGATGTTGACATCCACACAGGGTGAGCCTTGGACAGGAACACATCCATGGGAGGCAAAAACACGCGCTCAGGAACTCTTACTCCCACATCTCAAGCACTGGAAGAGCTCAATGGTCAGAAAAGTCAAGCAGATACAGTAACAGAAACCTAGGAAATAAATGCAAACATGTTTGTTTGCTCTCCCAACACACTTGCTTTTTTTTTTCCTTTGAGGGGGCAATGCCAAGTAAAGATTAAACCCAACTAGGTCCTAATACATACCTCATGCATCCTTACCCTACAATGGAGCTCCAAATGCTGATGGTTACCAGTAAGGCCCACTGAAAACCAGTCACACTCAAAAAAAACGTAAGCATTAAATGTTGAGCTGGACAGAGACATACACTTGAATCCCAGCTCTCAGGTAAAGCAGGATTGGCATGAGCCTATCTACAGCAAGACTCTCACCTAGAACACCCCAGTGAGACTATGTATATAGTTCAGAGGTTGTGGACTTGCAAACTGTGAAGAGGGAGGGCCCCGCTGGATTCAATCCCCAGCAACAGCAAAAGCAAGCAAGACAACGTGGTCCATGCCCATGATCCAAGCACAAAGCACTGAAGCAAAATGATGGCCTAAGTTTAAAGCCAGGCTGTGCTACAGGCCACATGTCAAAACAAATGTCAGTCTAGCCAGGTATATGCAGCAAGACTCTCAAAAAGCAAACAAAAGAGAAAATGTATTGTTTTTTGTGTGAACAGTACAATGGATCAAACCCAGGGCCTCATGCTGGCAGAGGAAGTATTCTACTACTGAACTACATCCTCAACACTTGACTCCCCAGAGTCCTTTTCTATTAACCGAACTTTAGCATCTCCAGCAATTAGCCAGCAATAAATGTCTTAAAAATGAGCCTACCAGGGCTGGAGAGATGGCTCAGTGGTTAAGAACACAGACTGCTCCTCCAGAGGTCCTGAGTTCAATTCTCACCAACCATGTGGTGGCTCACAACCATCTGTAATGGGATCCGATGCCTTCTTCTGGTGTGTCTGAAGACAGACTATATTCATATACATAAAATAAACAAATCTTTTTATAAAATGTTAGGTGATCAAAAAAAGAGCCTCCGTTGTTCATTTTATAGATCGACCACCACAAGAGGCTCAGGACATGACCTCATAACTCGAATGTCAATCCTGGGGCCTGCTGCAGCTGCTTCAGCATCTTACTATCCTGCAGACACTAGGTTAAGCTTAGGGCTTTCCTCAATTGAGAATGAGCAATCAGTTCACTAATTTAAAACTATCCTGGAACCCATATGATACTTCTAGCCACTGGCGTGTTCAGGGTGCATCATGTCCACTTCTCAGCAAGGAGGGAGCCTCAGAAAACTAACAACAAGGCAGCCAATGTGTCTGTGTCAGCCAGAGACAGACACACCTCAATATCTGCACGGGACATCTGTCCTGCAGAGCAATCCATCCTGAGATGGTGAAAAATGTTAAAGTGTAAATGTCCCCTATTAAAAGCTAGTCACACTAATCAAACTGACTTGATCTCCCAGAGCCTCAGCCCCACCACCTATAAAGGAGTTCCTATGAGGGGCGCGCACACGCAGAACACACACACAGTCACACTTTGCAAAAGGACATGAGGAGCATTTAGACACGGCCTGAGGGAGGCAATGGATGGAGAGATTAGTGGGAAGAGGTAGAAACAGGCCAGGCAGGCCAGACCACCCAACAGAACACAGCTGAGGCCAGGCCTGGTGATGCATGCCAGTTCTTGGGGGCAAAGGAACAATGTCATGTTTAAAACACCTTATGCAACATAGAAGGCCCTATTTCTTAAGTAAAAAAGAAAAAGAAAAAGAAAATTCCAGGAAACTTTAGATTTAGCAAGCGCTATCTTGGAAGTGGTATCCAGAACTAGAGGTGGCACTGACATGGAAGTTGGTTTGGGATAAAGGAATGTCAAGGGACATTTCCCTGGATGGAGTACTTGTCCAGATGTCCACTGCAGCCGGGTGCCTTGGGCTGCAATAATGAAGGGTGACAGGCGTCTCTGGGTCAGAGGCACCACATGGCTGGAGGAAGGGCAGGCAGGGAAGCGGCCTCCCCAGCCCCACCTCCCTTCCTCCTCCCTCAGCCCCCTGCAGCTCCCAGATCCTCTTCTCCCCTCCCCCAACCTTTGTAGGGGTAAGGTTTTGGCCTATGGCTTTCAGAAGGATGTGGCTGGCCCCAGCCGCCTCACCAGCCCCTTTGTCTCAGCTCTCTCCACCCCAACAGGAAAGGTAAAGGATTTTGCTTAACTTGTCAATTACACCTTTAGCAATCCTCAAAGTTGGAGGGGGAAGAAGCACATAAAAAAGTGGCCCGAAACCATAAACAACACAGCCCTTTCCCAACAGGAACAAAGGGGCCCGGTGATGGTGATGGCCCTGCAGGTAAACCCAAGCCTGAAGTCCTTAGTTCGATCTCCAGACCCACATGGTAGACGGCTGCCTGCCACATGTTTTCCTCTGACCTTCACAATGGTGCCCCGTTCATGTACACACATACAGAATAAAATATAAATTTTTTTTTTAAAAGGAAACAAAGACAGCCCTTCCTGCCAACTCCCAGGTCACAGACAATGATGGTTTAGAAATGCTTCCATGGCTGAGAATGAAACAGAGCACCTCAGGAAGGCAGGAAAAGGAGGGGCTGGCAGAGGTGGCTTTCCACTCGGCTCGGCACAACATACCTCAACATTCCTGTAAAGGCCTACTCCAGGTGCTGTGCCATTGAGTGCTCATCCCCACCTCCTTGAAGAGGGAGGGAGGGTTGCAGACCTTCATCCCTTAATCTTTGTGAACTGTTTCTATCGCACATACATAACAACTAAGGCACAGGGATAGAACTGTAATTGCTTTTGCAATAGTAGGATTTAAGCACAAATCCAAGACAGTGATTGCCTGAGAAGGCAGCCTGGTTCCAACCATGTGCTGAGAGGTAATGAGGCCAAGCACACAGTAAAGATAGTGCTTGCTGTATTACCAACCCTACGAAAGTTTACCTTGAAACTGGAAGGTGTAACCCAGTGATGGTCAGTGGCTTACCTGAAATAAGTAAGGCCCTAGATTTGGTTCCAAGGCAGTACAGGTGGGGGAGGGGTGGCCCCCGAGTCTGGAAAGGTGTGTATACCTGAGGTTTCCAAGGTCTGGCACACAAGCCTCAGCAGGCCTGGTGGACAGCGGAAGGTCGGTGAGTGCCACCAATTCACCAAAGCCCACAAAATCCACAAGCCAGGAAGCACTCTACTGAGGCCTTAATTCATTTTAATTCATATACCTCAGAGTGCAAAGCAAGAATCACAGGGATTCCGTGCCTCAGGGATGCAGGGGGTGGCAGGCTGGAGTCAGAGGCATGGAGAGCGCAGACAGGACTGCTGCCACGGGTGAAGACTGGAGAAAGAAACGTTTCCCCTCTGCGAAATCCAACCTTGGGGACGCAGTAGGTCTCCGCTTTGATTGCACCCTCTAGCCTGGACGGACTCCACAGGTATCCCTAAGCAATCCCTGATGCATGGACGATTGACCGCTAGGAAGTAGAGGCAGAGGGTTATTTTATAATTAAGAACTCAGTGTATGGATTGAGTAGTGGGGCCACCTCATCCCGGAAGAAGGCTAAGAATGGAAAGTGAGCCCCTAGGGCAGCCGGCACGGTGAGGAACCGCCCCCGGCTGGCTCCTCCCCGGCCAGGTGTGCTTAGCCAGCCACTCCCAGCAGCCGGCTGCGCCGGAGCTCTAGTGGCTCGGCTCTGGAGGACCCCGGGGACAACGCCCATCTCGCATCCCCGCTTGCCGGTACCCAGAGCGCTCTCCCAACCTGAAAGTGTGAGGTTCCAAGTCAGAACGGATCCATATCCACCGCCACATTGACGAGACAACTTTTCCCTCTACATCCCAGCCATTCCTCCCCGAGGCGGCTCTGGGTAAGAGAACCGGGCTAGGTAAGGACACTAGGTTCTGGGGACAGCCACCTCTCGGGCCCCAATCCGCTCCCAAGTGCTCTCAACTCTACGCTCCGGAAAAGCTACAGGTCTCCTTCCCTCAACTCTTCAGAGTAGCGGAATCCAGCGGGGACTTCGCCTTCTCTGTCCCCGTGCCCGGTCCCGTGTCCCCGTCCCGCTAAGCGCCACGCGCCCCGTTCTCCCCGACCCCGGCAAAGATCCAGGCGCCGCCAGGGGACCTGTCGCCCCGGCACCCACACAGCCCCAACCACCAGGTCCCAGTCCCCGAGGGGCGCGTGGCGCTCACCTGTCGCGAGGCTGGCTGTGGCGCGGCGCCGCGGTCGCGCCGCGGGTCGTGGCCGGCGGTCGGCGCGGGGTGCCGGGCTCGCGAATCTCCGGAGCCGATCGCCGCGCTACGTTTACTTGGGCCGCTTAACCCCCGCGCTGCCGGCCGGGAGCGCCCGAGCGCTCGCCCGCGAGCCAGTGGGCCACCCGGGCTGGTCCGGGGCGCTCAGGCGAGAGCGTCCACGCGGGCTGCGGCTCCGAGGCGAGGGGCGGCGACGAGGACGCTTCTGGCCGGGCGCGCACGGGAGTGGGTGGGGAGGGGGCGGCGCCGCTGCCCTTGTAGCCCCGGCCCGGCCCGGCCCTCGCCCCGCCTCCGCCCGGGGGGCGCCCCGCCGCAGCCACTCACCGGCCGGCGGGGCCAAGGGGACGGGCGAGGGAGATTTGAAATCCCTCCCGAGCTTCCTCGCCCCGCCTCCTCGGGAGCCGCCCCTGGGTCCCCCATGCCTGGCGGGTCACCCTCCCCGGTGACCCGACCCCAAGGATAGCGCCCAGCCCTCTCCACCTGAGACTTCCCCCCACTCCTGTCCCCCAACCCAGATTAGATGCACACACACATGCAAGCACACACTCTCAGGTCTGGATGAGCGGCACAGAGAGGGAAAAGTTCCTGCTGGAGTCACACAGCAACCCTGCATTGGCTTTTCGACCACCCCTCTGCTGCAAGACTGGCTAGGGCGCTGTGGTGACCCTGCAAGTCACCCGCTGGGGACCCCGTACTGCTTCCTGCTTTCACCTAGCTTGGCCTTTGTCAGCCATCTTGAGGGTAAAGGAGGCCTTGGAGGAAGAAAAAGCATACATGTTCCCCCAACTACCTGGGTTCCCCTGCCAGCTGGGGAGGAGCCCTACTCTGCAGCTAGGGCTGCCTCCGCCATAAGGCCCGTGCTGAACCATTGGAGAAACACAAATACTTATGATAGGCACCTGGCGTTTATGTTTATTTCATTTGTTTGCCTGCTTGTCGGTCTCTATACATTAGGTGGTGAACGCTAAAGTAGATACTAAATAAATATATGTTAAAAGAATAAACAAATCGAATGACTGAAAAGCCTAACTACAAGGCCGAGCACGTGCAGGCTCGGCTTTCACAAATCTTTTATTTTGTTGACTCCCTGACTTCACTCCAACCTCTTCTCCCGCTTTTGCTGTTCCTCCTACACACCAAGTATTGTCCTTGTGAGGAAAGCTTCGGCCTCTTTCTTCCTCTCAGACTTTGTTTCCCCAGATCTGTCACAGGAAGAAGCTTTCTCATCACCACACAGAACAGTCTTCGAATCCTTCTAGTTCCTCGTGTTCCTATAACACTGAAACGGGGAGGGGAGGGGCGGGGGGGGAGGCTAGCAGCAAAAGGAACTAACTGAACACATGCTAGTTGAATGAATGAATGAATCTCCACAGGTTTCCTGCACACAGCTTTCCTCCTGCACCTCTTCCTGGTTAGTGAGTAAGTGAGCAAATGGTGATTGCTTTGGGAACTTCAAGTTTTGACACTTTCTTGGCCTTTTTCTACCTAAAAAAGAATAGACCTGCCAAAAGACAAAAGGAGAGAAAGCACAGCCCAGCCTGGACCTGGCCCCCTAGGGAAGAGGAACAGCACGAACATCTTGACTATCTCGGAAATGTGTCCGGAAGTAGGTGCAGAAAGCTGATGCCTTAAAAGAGTCTGGATGAGTAGGTGGGGAGGACTGTAACTACCAAGAGAATCAGGGCACGTTGGATTCTACCCGGAATCCCAGCACGTGGAGGTTAAGGAATTTAAGGCCAACCTCAGCTACAGAACAACTTCCATACCAGACTGTGCTGTAGCTGTATGAGACCCTGTCTAAATCCCCCTTTCCCTCACCCAGAAGAAAAATACAAAAGTTCAGGAAAATGGGAGTAAGAAAACTACAGACAGAACTGGACAGATGGCTCAGTGGTTAATAGCACTGGTTGATCTTCCAGAAGAACAGGGGTCAATTCCCAGCACCCACATAGCAGCTCACAACTATATGTAACTCTAATTCCCAGGAACCAGACAAGACTCTTCTGGCTTCCACAAGACTCTAAACGCTCATACATACAAAATAATAAACTTATTTTAAAAAAGAAAGAAAGAAAGCTACCTCCAGGGAGGTGTGGTGGTACATATCTCTAATCCCAGCACTTCAGAGGCAGAGACAGGAGGATCTCTGGCTAGCCTGATGTCCACTGCAAGTCAGGTCAGCCAGGGTCATGCAATGAGACTTTGTGGAAAGAAAGAAAATAATCTCCAGAGAGCACAAAAGAGTTTGAAAAATCATTGGCCATATTGGTCAACTCATGTGAGCCACAACACTGCCCCGAAAAAGGCAGGGCCAAGATCACCAGCCTGAGTTTTGGAAGAGCAAAGCAAAGGCCCAATGGAAGAGGGAGGCATTTATGTAGCATGACTTTGGCCGCACTACCTGTGTGTGGAGGTTTGCCAGCAGAGTTTACTGTAATGACCGATCATAGTCTTTACAGCCATGATGGCAATCACTGTGCATTCAGGAGATCAGGGTTGGTCATAGCTCTGTGGCTGAGGGCTTGCTGGCCTTATGTAAGGCCCAGGGGCTCCATCCCTAGTGTCATATGCACACAGACATCTGTCATTTAAGCCCCTTTGTTTTACTTTCAAGAGACAAAAAACAAGCTGGGGTTGGTGGCACAAGCTTTCCGCTCTAGCTCTTGGGAGGCAGAGGTGGCAGGGCTGCTGGAGTCTGAGCTGGACTCCCTAAGAAGAGAGCTCAGCATAAGCCTGGACTGTAGACCAAGAGACATCTCTCTCTCCTTCAACAAAGAATGAAGAAGACAGGCACACAAAAGGATGTCCTTGCTCTTAACAAACAGGAAGTGTCTAGGAAAGGAATATACTGGCACCTGTTTCTCCCCTTATACAGGAAAATAAATGCATGTATATGCAGGAGGCAGATTTAAAAGCAAATGAGGCAAAATATAAACAAGTGAGTAATCTGCTTTTAAATTTTTTTTATGCCGGGGCGGTGGTGGCTCACGCGTACACTTTTAATCCCAGCACTTGGGAGGCACAGGCAGGCGAATTTCTGAGGTCGAGGCCAGCCTGGTCTACAGAATGAGTTCCAGGACAGCCAGGGCTACACAGAGAAACCCTGTCTCGAAAAACAAAAACAAACAAAACAAAAAAAACAAAAAAAAATTTATTCCTTGTATTTGTATTATGACTTTAAAAAAATTGTTATGTGCGGTGTTGACTGGAGGTCAGAGGGCAGTTTTCCCTTCTTTCCATGATGCTGGTTCTGGGATTGAACTCAGCTCCTCAGGCTTGACAACAAGTGTCTTTCCCCATTGAGCCATCTTACCAGACCTCTTAGGTTAAATTCTGGTATTTAAGAGCCAGATGTAATAGACCATGGTACTTTAATACCAGCACTTGGGAGACTGAGGCAAGTGAATCTCTGTGAGTTCAAAGCCAGCCTGATCTATATTGGGGGATTCAAGCCAGCCAAGACTATGTAGACCCTATTTCAAAAATCAAAATCAAACAAAAATTGTCTTATTCAAAAAAGATTCTCTAAAGTAAAGTTTTATCATAAAACATACATTAAAAATAAGCCTGATAGTATGTAATTCCAGCACTTGGGAGGCAAAAGTAGGCAAGATTAGGAGTTCAAGTCCTCCCACAGGGCAAGAAGGCCATTCTGTTCTACTAGACACCCTGACTCCAGAAAAAAAAAAAAAAAAAGAGCTTAAGAGATGGCTCAGCGGTTCAGAGCATTAGATATTCTTCCATTCTAACTCCAGTTCCAGGGAATCCAACACTTTCATCTGACCTCCACAGAAACCAAGCACACATGCCCTACACGGACATACATACAGGCAAAGCACTCGTGCACATAAAATAAAGATAAATCCTAAACTAAAACCCTACCAACCAAAAGTATGCTGATGGGGAAAGGCACTTGACACCAAGTCTGAGGACCTGAGTGTGAGCGCTGGGACCCACATAATGATGGAAGGTGAGAACCAGCTCCAGCCAGTTGTTCCTTCATCTCCACAGCCATATACAAAATAAATTAATAAATGTGGTCTTGGATGTTTTGTTTTAAGTACATTAAAGCTAGGTGTCACATACCTGTTATCTCAGCAAAGATAGAAGCAGGAAGATTAGTCAGGTTTCAAGGCCAGCAGGGTCTTGTCTTAAGCAACAACAAGAAAAAAAATCAAGGTGTGCAGAAGGTACCTGCCATCCCAACACTGGGAGACAAAAACAGCAGGATCTCCATGAGTTTCAAGCCAGGCCAGCCACCAGACACAGTTACCACAAGACCTTGCCCCAAAAGGATGAGAAAAAAAAAAAAAGCAAAAAACACTCTCTCCTCTGTAGCTGAATATAATTGCCCTGGGCCTGTGATTCTAGGTCTTGAGTGGGGTAAGAGGATCAGGGTTCAAGGCCAGCCTGGGGTACATAAGACTGTTAAAATGAAAGCTATACACATGCTACTTACCCTTGTACTGATGAATGAACACTGGTAGACTTCCATCAGTCAATATTTGTGTTCAGCTCTGCTATCTTAGGGCAGCTGTGGTTATCTATCTATCTATCTATCTATCTATCTATCTATCTATCTGTTTTTCGAGACAGAGTTTCTCTGTATAGCACTCACTCTCTGCAACTCACTCTGTAGACCAGGCTATCCTCAAACTCAGAAATCCACCTGCCTCTGCCTCCACCCACCTGTGTTGGAATTAAAGATGTGCACCACCACACCTGACTTAATTTATTATTATATTAATTAATTAGTTTAGCAGTACTGGGAGCTAAACTCAGAACTTTATACATGCTAGGCACTCTAGCACTCTGCTCCTGAGCTACATCCCCAGCAGTCTTACTGTGAAGTTTTTGTCAGAGCGCCTAATAGATAGTGGTCCTCACTGTGGGGTGAGTATTTTAATGAGTACCTAAGCCTAGATTCTATAGGCCTCAATTAAAACAGAGACAATAACTTTAGCTACGTCAAAGTTTGCTGAAGAAGTATGTAATCAAGTACACAGAAGGCCCCTCACACAGTTCCTAGCTCATTGAAAATTCATTAAGATGTTGTTATATAAAACCATAGTGTATGGGGCTGGAGAGATGGCTCAGTGGTTAAGAGCACTGACTAAGTTACAGAGGACCCTGGTTCAGATCCCAGCACCCACATGGCAGCTCACAACTGTCTGTAACTCTAAGATCTAACACCCTTACATATAAAATAAACATAACACCAATGCACATAAA